TATAGCATCAGACGTGTGCATGGCACTTCTCAGAACAAAGGACTGCACCATGTCTCAGGTTCCTGTCCCCAGAAGTTCCACATAATCCAAGAAACTGATTTTTAATTGTGAAAGTACATCAAAAGCAGAAAGTAATTATTTTTAATAGGCAGTAACTTGGCTTGCTTTCAAATCAGATACAAAGTTTGCTGACAACAACAAAAGAGATCCAAATGTGTTACGATTATTAAATTCTGTCGGATTTTTTAAAAAAATTAGAACATGTGATTATCTTCACCTTATTTATGACTGATGTAGTGCACAATCCACTTGTCTGTTACTGGCTTTTGGACAAAGATGAGAACAAATAGCCTTCCACATGTTGTTGGACTCCAACACCCATCTCCCCTCACCGTTGGCAATGCTGGCTGTGGTTGATAAGAATGGTGGCCCAAAAACAATTGGAAAGCTGTATGTTCTCCAATCTTCCTTTAGGAGAAGCTGTAACTTTTCTTTTCGAGTACTGAGGGAAGGGGTGAAATTTTGCAAGTTTTCAAGTTTGTGGGGGCGATCCTATACTTGTTTAGAGAGAAAAAAGTAATACAACTCCCAGCATTCCCTATGTTAACCTGGGCATACTGGGAGCTATAGAATGTTTATCTGCCTAAACATGCATAGCATTCCATCCTAAGTTAATATCATTGGAACCAGGCATTTCCATGAGCTCATAGGCAGCTAACCTAGGGTGCAGCTGCCACATCACTGTTGCGACAACCCAACACAGCCCCTCTTTTCCTTCATCCCCCCTCCACCACCCCTTCCCAACTAGCAGAAGGAAAGCACTAAATATGCCGGAGTGTAGTATATTATGTTTAAAGGGTATGAGGCATTCCAGAACTGCAGTAGGTTCACAGGGAGCAATGCTTGCGCTCATCTTACTAGAGGTCATTTTGCCCAAAAGACTCTAAGCTCTGGCACACTATTCCCATTAGTAGGCAATCAAAGATTCTGCAACAAGAAACCAGAAAAAGCAACACAGCATGATCTTGACACATTTATCTCTGGGTTTTCATTTATGATTCAGCTGTGAGTAGCATGTTTGCAAAGAAGACATTGCAAGTTAACTATTTAAAATTCAACACTATCCTTTCATTCACTAATGCTCCTAGAACAGAGCCCAAGTGTTGCAGTCAGAGCAAGGTGGGGAACTACAGATATGCATGTATTTACCTACCTACCTACCTACCCACACACACACACCCATACACAAAAACCTGCCTCTTCACACTCATTGGGATGGAACTGACAGAAAGGGTAGAGAGATGCAAGTTTTTCCCACACCCCAACAATCCTTTCCAAGATCACTGATTTCTCAGTACTATTAACAAGTTGTCCGCCTCAGTCATAGCCCCTGAAAGAACTGTATTCTTACAAATATGGATATTCTAAGACAGGTTATCAGGCTAGATAACAGGCCTCTCCTGACACAGATCCTAAATACAAGAACAGTTTCCTTTTTTCCCCCCCCAGAGCTGTAGCTCGGGTGGTGTGAATGCTTTCCATTCAAAAGATCCAAGGATCCACCCCTGGCATTTCTAAACTCCCACCTGAAAGCCTGAGTTGTGACTGCCAGCCAGCATAGATGGATAAGATGGATGCCCATGTTTTCAAGAGAGATCCAACGGCACTACTACTTACAGCGAGCTGGTACAGGAAGGGTGGCCTTTAAAAACTTCTTGGCACATGTAATGGCCTTGGAGTTACTACACAGACAAGGAAGCTTATATAGAATAAAGTATGTGGTAAAGGGCTCTTCGGTGCCACTCTTCCATGGACATCTCTTTCACTCCTAAGGGCTTTCCCATAATCTGCACATTATAAAACAGGCAAGAGGAATTTCTCAAATGGTTCACATGGTAACGTTTCATTAAACCAACTATTTTGGCATGGCATGATTGCCACTTGGATCATAGAGCTAAGAAAAACGCTGGAATGACATAGAGCCTGAATTTCTGTTACTGAAGCTTCCTGCCCCTGGTTGACTGTGCTACTCTATGGATGCAGATTGGGACAGATTCTTGGCCCTCAGAGTTCCATGGGACACTTTCTGATTGCCTAGCATTGACCTTTTAAGCAATGACACCATTCAGTGTAACATCAGATGGGCCAAGAAGATCTGCCCTGGGACTAACTCCACTTGGCCAGAATAGTAACCGTTGTTGCTTATTTGGTCAGTTTCCTGAGTTTCATTGAACCCAGGCTGCCATTGTAATAACTGTGAGAAGGCACAGATTTACACACCTTAAGCCTAAATCATACATGCAGTGTCAAGTAAGCAAAACAAACCATCAAAACTTCAGAGCCAATATTTGTCAAAAGAGGAGAGGGAAGCAATCCCACCCAGTCTCAATACATGACCAGCTATCTCAGCTGTCCCCAGCCTTGTGCCCTTCTGATATTTGGGGCTACAACTCCCAGCATTCCTGATCTTGCTTCATGCTTGCTGGGTCTGACAGGAGCTGACATCCAAAACATCTGGAGAGTACCAGGCTGGAGAAGTCTGGGCAAGCTTGACAATGTGATGCCAAGGGAATGCTTCCTGTTGGTCAGAAGGAGAGATCAGAGAGAATGGCACACCAGCTTACATAGTCTGGCCTCCTCCAATTACCACTGGCTCAAGGAAATGCAAGTGATGTGGCAACCCTGCACAACCCTGTATCTTGCGCCTCTCCCCTCATGCCACACAGTTTAAACACACATACATCCAATAATGCTTCTTCTCTTGTGCTAATAGAAAAAGGAGCAGTACAGCGAAAAAGGAGCAGTATGCATTATACAATACCTATAGGGTCTGTCAGTTTGACACTGATCCTTTACAGGTACTTACACAAGAAACCCCCGTTCCATTTCTGCCCAGCAGCAATCTGAAGAGTGTTTTCATCTGTACTTAAAATTAATCTATCATGCAAATGCACACTATTTCTCCTCCCATTCCCTCTTGCGTTAGCAAAATGTACACGCAGCACAAAAACAATCATCAAGGTAATACATAATCAGAGAGTAAGGCTACAGTGCTGTTTAGTTTTGGGAACAACCATATCCATGTTTAGACGTTTCAGGACAGAAAATAGTCCTGGCTGGCAAATGCTGGGATTTGGAAGACTTTTTTGTTTGTTTGTCTGTTTCAACATGGACCAGATTATATCCTTCATAACTCCAGCTTGCTATCCTGATACTATACAAACCAGCTCTGGCTGAAACATTCCAGAATCTCCCTCCCCGCCACTCAAAATCATGGTGTTTATTTATATGGCCACTTGTGGAGGGAGAGCTCACAATTCAGCATGACAGAAATCCTTGCAATTCAAAACAGGAGCTGCAAAGATCAGCCAGTTGGATGCTGTCATGAAATAAATGATGAGCAGCGCTTACACACTCTCTCTCTTCACTGTGCTTTGCTTAATACACATTTAACTATTAGTGGAAGTCTGTAACTCCCCATCCAGGCCAGATAATGCCTCTGGTGAGAATGTCCAACAATACCCTTTTACATAATACCAGCCACAGGACTTGGCCCCTCCTCCCTCGCCCAAACAGTAACACACACTAAACAAAACTGCTATTATTACAGAGGCCACTCACTAAATGGCTGCATTTATAGCTTCAACTGTAAAAAGGGAAAAAAAGATATTTCCTTTCAATGTATTTACAAAAAACAAAAACAAAAGAGAAAACTTTTACAAACAGCCTGATTCAGCAGCACGAAAGTAAACAGCAGGCACCCAGTGGCCCGGCCCTCTCCTTTCTCTTCTCTCCTGCCCCGCTTTTTGCGCTGGCCCTCTCAGAGGGGTTTGGCACCAGCAAATCATCCCACACTGGGGGCAGAAGCAAGCTCACGAGCTGCTAAAGCCCTCGGCTGTGCCACGCACACTTGTCACACCTCAGACAAATTTGCGACGCCTCCTGGGCTTTGGCACGCTGCGTGGCTGTGCCAACCCACACGCGGCGGCACAGACACACCTGCAAAGCCCAAAGGGGATGGGATAAGCTTGGCATGCAAAAGGCGGCGAGCCAGCGTCATACAGGAAAGGATTTCACACTGTGGGCTGTCAGAGCAGAGGGAAAGGACCTGTGGTGCTCGCCCTCCTGCGTTGCTGCTGTCGTGTTGTTGTTGTGCGGAGAAGTTTCTCCTTCCTTCCCCCTAGAGGCAAGAGAGGAGAAGCGACTCCACTCAGGCACCCCTTTGGATAGGGCACAACAGAGCTCGGGTCAAGTTGTCTAAAAGGACAGCTCCAGCAGGAGGTCCTCCTAGAAGGAGCAGGGAGGCTGCAAAGCCGGGGGGCGGGTCGAGCTGGAGGCACAGGGGGCAGAAACGCAATAGGACTAAGAGGCGACGGAGGGCTGCATGTGGGGGCGGGGACGACGGAGGGAGTGTGGTGCGGAGCGTGGTGTAGCTGGCCGTCAAATGGGTCAAAAGGCAGCGGAGGGGGAGGAATGACAGAGCAGCAGGGCGCGAGAAGAAAGTTGCAGATATGCAGAGGAAGCGGGGCAAGGAGCAGGAGGGAGGGAGGGAGGGTTGGGAAGCGAAAGGAGAGGCGAGGAAAGAAAGCGTAGGGGAATCGAAGATCGCTGTGCACAGCTGTCGTCCTCAGAAGAGCTCTCCGCTTATCCTGCACCGCAGGGAGGGGCAGGGGCGGCAGGCACAGATCGGCGCAGAGGGCGGCAGTACCATGCCCTCGGCAATCGCCGGCGGGGGATTCAAAACCCGCCTTCGGGATGTTGAGTTACCCACCGGGACCCGCGAGGAAGGAGCTCGGGGCCGGATCCTTTTGCACGGGGCTTGGGAGCTCAGTGGGGGGCACCGATCAAGAAGTGGAGGGGGTGGTGAGGAGCGGGCAGGAGAAAGACGCAGCAAACTCTACCAGGAGAAGAGGCAAGAGCGGCAGAAAGGACTGCGGGAGGGAGGGCTGGTTGAGGCAAGGGGGGGCGAGGAGCGCGCGCTGTCCTGCTGGTCCCCTCACCTGTTTTTCAGGGGCTGGCTTTTCAGCTCATAGTAGGTCTTGGGCTCCTCGTGAAACTCTTCACCGACCTCGAAGTCCGGCACGATCCCCGATTCCGCCTGCATGTCCCTGCTCTCCGTCCCCGCCGTCAGTGGGAGGGAGAGGAGGGGAAACCACTCGGGCGCAGCCTGCCCCGCGTCCGTGCTGCGCTGGGCGCTCACAGTACTCCAGCCCAAGCCTTGGCTGGGCTCGTTCGCTCGCTCGCTCGCGTTGCTTTGCTGCGCTGCGCTTGGCTCCGCTTTGCCCAGTGCCAGCTCTGGGACCCCTCCCCTTCGCACACACCTCCCTCATGGCGCTTCCTGGGACTTGTAGTCCTTCTGGGACGCAGTCTGAGCCGTCCAACCAGCCGGAGCACTACAGCTCCCACAAGGCCAAGCGGCCGTGACGCAAGAGGGGGCGGGGCGCCGAGAGCCACCGGCGTGCGTCCTGTCAATGTCAGCACAAGCTGCTTGCCAAGGGTACGTCGGCGGCTCGGCCCAGAACCCTGCGTGGGGCAGCGCTTCATTTTTAAAACGGCAGGCACCGAGGCTCAAGCCTCTCAGGAAATCACACTGCGTGACCGAGACGCCTTTGATGCGGGCTGGTGGTGGTAAAAGTCATTCACCGCTGAGGGGACTGCACTTTGTACATGCTCGTAACTGCTGTCGCCTTGATCGGATGCCTGGAAGCCCTTTCTCCAGATCTCCAATGTGCTGGAGTCATTTATAATTATTTGTTGACAAGGTCAACTTTGAACACGCTCAGATATGCACTCAACACTATGGTAGGCTCCAGGACCTTATTCACAAAGATTTAAAAAAACCCCTTCTTCAAATTACAAATGTATGGGAGTAAGTTACCTTTACTCAGTGGTGAGCTCATTGCACATGCTCAAAATCACCCCTGTTTTTATTGTCTGTAGATGATCTACACTGAAAACAGGTTCCACAGTGAATGAGTGGTGAATCCTGGTTCAAATTAAGGCCCACCATGAAAGTTCTTCCTTACATTTTGTTCATATTTTCTCACAAGCACATGGAACAAATATCTGGTTTGGATTATGTTTGCTGCATACTATCTTCTCTAGTTGTAGTTCCAGAAAGTTAACCAGCTCACCAATAGAAGGACTATTCAGTGCCTAAGCAAAGGGTTCAATAAAAACTTCTAAAATTCTCCCCACACCAGCTGTGAAAGCTCTAGCCTCCTTTGAAACATTGGAGAACTGTTTCTATTAGTGTCTATTATTTCCACCAGCTTGCATTTCTGGCTCCCTGGTTTGTTCATTGTTATTTATTTTCCATTCTGTGCATGTCCTGTTTTCTTCCAAGGAGATCAAAAGGGCATACATAATTCCCTGCTCTCATTTTATCCTCACAAGAACCCTGTGAGGTAGGTTAGGTTGGAAAGGGGCAACCATATCCAATATACCATATTAGCTTAAAATTATTGACAGATGTGGCAGTATGGCAAGATACACAGGAGAAGCAAATGTCCTTCAGACACCGTCCCTGCCTCTGGGATTTTGTGTCTGTTCTTCTGTGCACCCTGGCAACCAGGAGCCTAATTCATTTATTTCCCTCTGTCCTGGGCCTGTGAATCCTTTCAGCAGCACTGGCTTCTACTGGCCTGTGATCTGACTGGTGCTGATTTTAATGCCACACTTTATTGGCTTCTCCTGCCAGTGCTTAGGAAATGCCAGCAGGAGTTCTTGATAGAACATATCATTCTTCTCTCTCTCGTGCAAAGTGGAAGCGCCACCTTTTCTCTCTGTGGTGAGTCTGAGCCAGGAACCCAGTCAACAGAATTCTGCTTGTTCTGTTCAAGTACTGATTTTGATTGCCTCTGACAATTCTCGCAAAATCTGGGCATAGGTACACGAATACAGGGAAATACGTTTACATAATATGCAGGGCCCATTTTTTCCTTTATAATAATTCTGCTAAGATCAGACAAACACACACACACACATACACAAACAGGCCCATAGCTAGCCTAGTAAAAGTTCCCCACTATTAAGTATCCAGCTCCTCTTTGGACCAGTACTGCATTATTCTTATTATTCTTGCACTGCATTCATACCCCACTTTCCCACTTGCAAGGAAGCCAAGGCAGTTCACAAGATTCTCCTCCACTCCATTTTATCCTCACAGCAGTCCTGTGAGGTAAGTTAGGCTGAGAGTCTATGACTGATCCAGTAAACTTATGGCAGAGTGGGGACCGGAACCTGGATCTCCCAAGTCTCAGTCCAGCACTCTAATCACTACGAAACACTGCTCTTTACAGGGTAAAGGCCACAGGTCACTCTTCTCTGAAAAGGCTTAGGCTGCCTTGAAGTTTAAATTCTGGTTGCTGGAAATAAAGGATTTTTAGGCACATGTAGTAACTTGGCATATTTAAAAGATCACAAGCACATTCTTTTTTTTTTTCTTTTTCCTTTTGTGTACTAATCTAAAATATATATTTTTCACACTCTTATTTTGTTGATCAGTTGTTTTTATGCCCCATATTTTCTCTGCAAAGAAACCTGGGCAGTTTACCTAATCCTTCCCCTTCTTTTTTATTTTATCTAAAGACTGGCCCAGTGGAAAAGAGGGAAGTAAAGCCCAGATTTCCCAAGTCCAAGTCCAATACTCTAGCCACTATGCCACACTAGCTCTATTAATCAACCAGGATCAGAATTTGCTGCTTGGAACATAAGCGAAACACCCACTTATCCCTGTTTGGGGAAAAACAAATTACTTCAAATCAAACAGCAACTTACTGCAATTTTGTATGTTACCACGTACTCTGTGAGCCACTTGTTAGATCATCCTGCTGAGTGACATGGAAAAATGTATCATTCCTCTGCTTCTGCAGTCCTCTGAGTCTGGCAGATAGGAAGAATTTTACTACTTCTCCATATGTTAAGTTAGGTTGCTTACCTGTAACCAACATTCTTCGAGTGGTCATCTGTGCTTCCACACATATGGACTCTGTGCCAGCCCAGGGCCTGTTGTCAGAAAGACAGAGAGATTCCCTGGCTGGGCATTTTGGTGGGATCCCTGTCCCCTTCCCCAAGTGCTATATAAAGGCGGAGCTTGCTCCATTTTCTCCAGTTGTTTCTTAACAGCCACCTTGGGTGGCCCCACACAGGCATAGAGCCCATATGTGTGAATGCACAGATGACCATGAAAAAGAACATAAGGAAATCAAAGGATAAGTTTGGAAGGGACCTCAAAGGAACATCTAGTCCTACACCCTGCCAGTGTAAGGCCCCTCTGTTACAGCATTCCTGACAGGTGACCAATTCAGGCCATCAAGTATTATGGTAACTACTATGAGTTACCATAATAGAATCCACACTCTGTTAATGTTGCCCTGTGTACCTCATCTGAGTGCATTTCTTGAGATGAGCAGTAGATGTTCAGAGGTTAAGTGTTGTTGGCCACAGGGGTATGTGGCCAAAACAACACCATCCACACACAAGAAGGAAGTCTCAACAGGCTTGGGAAAACCCCACAGTTTGAAGAAGTATCAAAAATATTTAGAAAACAAAACTGCCCAATAAGGACTGAGCATGCTCTGTGGCCATGGAATACTGACTGACTGCTGGAACAAAAGCAAAGCAAAGCAAAACAGTGGAAAAATAAAAGGGAGAGGAAAAGGAATGGAGTATCCTGCACAGGAGTACTCCACCCTGCAACGTTTTGTTGCAAGCCCCCCTTGGGCATAAACTGGGAGAGAATCAGCAGGAATGGCATAGTTCATGTTTGTGGGGTCACCTGTCAACCACTGATTCTTCTGGCAGGAAGTTGCTTCCATACGGTCTGAAGACTTGACACCTCTCTTTTATGAAATCACCTACTGGAGGGCTCTGTGTCAGGCAGCCAAGCATCTCAGGCAGGCAGAACATGAATCATTTGGAAAGAACCACCTAATTTAAGTAGGCTTGGTGGATACATACCCCTCCCTTTTTGTTTAGCATCCCAGGTTTTTGTCAAAGGAATATTTCCTTTGTGATGAGGTAAGCATCTCTATAAAGTGACTCATCCTAATTTGGGTACAAATAGGTTATGTAATACCTCACTTTAGGCTAATGTGTGTTTCAACAGGATATCTGCACACCTTTGATTCACACAGAGGTCCTCATCAACCAGTGTGATCTAAAGAATAGCATTTTGGAAAAAGAGCTCTGAGACCTGTGGCTGTCTGGGAGGTTTGGGAACAGCTATATTCAAATAGCCTCTATTTTCTTCCTGTAAAATGGAAAACATCAGCAATATGCCTCATGACCCTGTGGTAACAGCCAATAAAATGAAAGCTGTAATACACATCTAAAAAAAGGATCTGAGTTTTTCTTCCTATTTGCTCTCAAATTGGAACTGACTTGAGTTTCAGTGACTGGAGCCACTAGGTTTCTCCTGGTTTAACAAACATAATAGAGTTATCCCTACTCATTATGGTTTCCCTAATTAAATCCCTTTACTTTCTCCCATATAAATAAATAGTTGCCATCTATATTTAATATCTATATTAAGTATGTGCTGCATTTTTGGCCAAAAAGCCACTAAAATGAAACAATAAATTTAAATACAAAACTGTTTCCTAAAATGAAACAGTAAAGCTATTAAAATTATTGTAACCATTAAAATAATTGAATATTGAATATGAAATAATTTAAAGAACTAGGTCAAAGTCACCTTAACCTAGCCTTTTAAATTAAAGATAACCTGTTTGTTCTGTACATAAAAGAAACATACCTCCAGCAGTTTTTATAATTGCATCATGACATCTACTACAATATTATGATGCAATGGCACAAGTATGTTGGACTTCTGAAATATAACACTGTAATTACGGGGATGATTTAATCTTTAACAGCTTGCAGTCCGCAGTGCTAACAGACACATTATGACATGGGTTGGCATAACTGTCTCAATGAGTTTGTAAGCAAGTGCTATTTCCAGACCTCTGCTTTTGACAGTGTGCCTATAGGACTCAATAATGAAATCCTGGATCCTCCAAAGATGGAAGAATTCAGTCACCTGCTAAGCCTATCTGAACAAGCTGTTGAAACATCCCCGAACCACATATCAGGTAGAACAGACAGGATAAACAGGACACACACACACACACACACACACACACACACACACACAGAGAGAGAGAGAGAGAGAGAGAGAGAGAGAGAGAGAGAGAGAGAGAGAGCGAGCGAGCACTGGGTTTCTTTCTAATGCTATGGCTATTTCCTTTCAAAATGAG